ACGGAGTCGAGCGAGTTTGCTTATGTTCGTCGACAGGTCAACGGCGTACGCCGATCTTACTCTGTCGAGCGAACACTCACTCGTTGGTCTCTTTTCTAGTCTGGAGAATTAACTCCACGGACTAAGGACGAGACCGTGCGATCAATTGAGGANGTGGAATGATGAGAGGTCGATTTAATTAAATGGAGAAATTATGATTGTTATCAATTTATTCATTTGATGGGGTTGAGATTACAATTTTGAAATGTGTATTCGTATAGATGAATGTAATATCGCGAATTTTACATTTGAAACGGAGGGTCATCGCTCGGAGGCTAGAGAGGGGGAATATATATATATATGCATATGTATGTGNGACGCGATGTGTGTGTGAGGGGCCTCCGGCGGGGTTTTACAAGTGTAATTGTGTCGGCATGTTTAAGACGGCGGTTCGTGGCATGGAAGCTATTCGAGGTCAATCTCTATTATTTATTGGATTTTCGCGGAGCTTGGAGGGAACATGGTGTAAAAATGGTGGACGGGAACTAATCGGATGTCATCTATGTAGGGAAATTTCACGGGAACTAGTTTTCTGGCGGGAGTGGTGGTTATTACCCGGAAGATTTCAGAAGCATCTGTAGTCAGAGGATCAAGGACGAAGGGGATTCTTTCTGGATTCGCTTTTTTATAGGTTGAGGCTAATCGGATAAAATGTTGAAATCTAGGATCGAGGGGAGGGGTGGTCTTGACTCTTTAAGCGAGGCCGGTGCGGCACTTTGGTCGGCTCTGAATTGCAGGTCGGCGGTGTCGATGTCCTATGCACTCACTGGCACTCACTTTTTCACTCGCTGTGGCACTTGCTTATTTTGCTCACTNAAGTCGGCTCTTTTCAAACACGCGGCGTGGTTCTTTCTGAGTTCTCGATTCCGAGAGCCCTGGCTTATATACTTTTTTAGTAAGCGAGGACTCTTCCAATCGGGAACTCAGTTGAGCTTTGCTGGTTCCTATTTGTTAATTATCGGTCGGGCGACTTGCGAGATCGCCAATCGGCGACGATCTCTCGCTTCGGTCGCCTCGTCCGATTTTCGGGGAAGGAAAAAGGGAGAGTGTTGTCTTTGCGATCACGCCGCATAGGCCCCTTATTTGTTTATAATAAAAATGCCGGAGTTTCTATTTGCGCCGGTCGCTCTAATTTTTATGACCGGCGTTTTCATGACCCG